TTGAGTTACGTCAGCTGAGTTTGTTTGCTATTTGGTGTCACTCTGGCGTTAGTCGTCGCTTCAACTGGTATTACTTCCAGGCGTCACTTACTGGGGTAGTAGCGTTGCTCTGGTAATGCTTGGTTTTGGTGGTGCCCCTCAGGTGTTGCAGAATTGTTCAGATGCTTTGGCCGGTAGAGGCCTGAGGTATACAACTCCTCCAGACAACACGTTCCTCCCTCACTCCCCTGGCTCCTGTCTCACACTCGCTCCACACATACACTGATCCCATCCATATATTGGACAAGGCGGCCCTTGTCCAATCACGTCTACCCTCACGTGTGAGTCAGAAAAACACAACCTGTTGATGGGCATGAAGATGATTGTTTACCCCCCTCCCCTTACCCCAGTGCAGAAATTCTGCTGGGACCATTACCCTTGGTCAAGAATAAACCGGAGTCGTGATGCGGGCCACAGAAAGTGTTTACAAAACATTTTTGACTTAATCGGTTTATGCAAAGTTTACAGCATATCCTGAATCATAACACATGTAGGAGTAATGGGTTTAGGTTAGGTTAGGTTAGATTAGGTTAAGTTAGGTTAGGTTGTTTCTTGTGGGGAACCTCATCCTCCCTGCTCTCTTTTCTGTCTCTATCAACTTTTTTTCTCTCTCAGAAAAAATAGTAATATTAGCGTGGCGAAGTTAATTTTACCATCTTGAAAAGCTAAATATATTTTCAGTGTGTGTGTGTGTGTGTGTGTGTGTGTGTGTGTGTGTGTGTGTGTGCTTGTGTGTGTGTATTTGTGTGTGTGTGTTTGTATGTTCTATATACAGTAACTTGATTGAACTTTACCTTCACGTCTTTGGTCTCTGCACATCACCGGTCAAATGCTTTCTTAATATTAGTATTGGTTTCTAAATATTACAATTGGCTTATGAACATTGCTAATGGTCCGTAAGTACTTTTATTTGTCTTTAAGGTCCGTTCTTTGGTTTATAAACATTCTAAATTATCTCCAAGAAGTAACATTGCTCTCTAAACATTCTCATCGGTCTCTAAATATCCTGATTAGTCTCTAAACATTACAGTGAGTCTCTAAACATTGCCATTGCTCTCTAAAAACCTAATTATGATCTAGAAACTTTGCCAGTGTTTCTTTTACGATTCTACACCGACATTATATCCCAGTTTCATTATATAGTTCTAAATTGTCTCATTTACCCTTTGAGTACGATGACTTATGCCCTTTGAGTACGATAATTTGACCCAGTGAGACGATGAGCATGGTGACTTAAGGGGAGTAAGTCATCGTAATCAAAGGAACAAGCTATCATATTCAAAAGGCATAAATCGTACTCAAAGTGCACAAGTTATCGTACTCAAAGTGCATAAATATTCGTACTCAGTGGGCATAAATGAAGGACTTTACGACCCAAGCGGATATATAGAGAAAGATGAATAAATACGAAGATTAATTATCAGGGGTTAAAAATCTTCATGTTTATTCTATTTTTTGTTGGTCCGTGTTTTCAATGTATGAATGAAGGAAATACGCGATGAGTGAAGTCAATTACTGAACTCAAATATAAAATGAATGAAACGAGTGGCTTAGTGAATCATGTGATGAATGGATTATGTAATGAATAAACCAAATGAATCTTAATCTGAATCATAAAGAGAAGAATTTATTATTAAAGGAATGAATGAAGGTACACTTGAACGATGAGATAAGATATGCAACGAATGAATGAATGAATGAAGGAAGGAAGGAAGCACGTGATCAATAAGGGGCGTTGGAGGATTAGCGACGTAGAAACTTGATCTTGAGTTAGAATACATTGTTAACACCCACTAACAATGCTGTCAGTGATCGAGGGAACCTGAGAGGGAGTGAGGGTGGATGGAGGGAACCTGTGAGGGAGTGAGGGTGGATGGAGGGAACCTGTGAGGGAGTGAGGGTGGATGAAGGGAACCCGAGGAGTGAGGGTGAATGAGGGAACCCAGAGGGAGTGGGATGGAGGGAACTCCGTGAGGGAGTGAGGAGGGTGATGGAGGGAACCCAGAGGGGTGGATGAGGAACCCGTGAGGGAGTGAGGTGGATGGAGAACCTGAGAGGAGTGCGAGGGGTGGATGGAGGAACCTGTGAGGGAGTGAGGGTGGATGAAGGAACCTGTGAGGAGTGAGGGTGGATGAGGAACCTGAGAAGGAGTGAGGGTGGATGGAGGGAACCTTGAGGAGTGAGGGTGATGGAAGGAACCCAGAGGAATGAGGTGATAGAGGAACCTGAAAGGAGTGAGGGATGGAGGGAACCTGTGAGGGAGGAGGGTGGATGAGGAACTTGGAGAGGGAGTGAGGGTGGATGGAGGGAACCTGTGAGGGAGCCGAGTGTGGATGGAGGAACCTGAGAGGGATGGAGGAACCTGAGAGAGAGTGAGGGTGGATGGAGGGAACCTGTGAGGGAGGAGAGTGGATGGAGGGACCTGTGAGGGAGGAGAGTGGATGGAGGAAACCCTGTGAGGGGAGTGAGGGTGGATGGAGGGAACCTGAGAGGGAGGAGGTGGATGGAGGAACCTGTGAGGTGCAAGAGTTAAGTGGAGGGAACCTGAGAGGGAGTGAGGGTGGATGGAGGAAACCTGAGAGGGAGTGAGGGTGGATGGAGGGAACCTGTGAGGGAGTGAGGGTGGGATGGAGGGAACTGTGAGGAGTGAGGGTGGATGGAGGAACCTGTGAGGGAGTGAGGGTGGCTGGAGGGAACCTGTGAGGGAGTGATGGTGGATGGAGGGAACCTGAGAGGGAGTGAGGGTGGATGAGGAAACCTTAGAGGGAGTGAGGGTGGGTGGAGAAACCCTGAAAGGAGGGTGGATGGAGGGAACCTGTGAGGAGTGAGGGGTGGATGGAGGGAACCTGTGAGGGAGTGAGGGTGATGGAGGAACCTGAGAGGGATGAAGGGAACCTGTGAGGGAGTGAGGGTGAATGGAGGGAAGCTGTGGAGAGTGTGGTGATGAGGGAACCTGTGAGGAGTGAGGGTGATGGAGGGAACCCAGAGGAGTGAGGGTGGATGAGGGAACCTGAGAGGGAGTGGAGAGGGTGTGATGGAGGGAACCTGTGAGGGAGTGAGGGATGAACCTGTGAGGGAGTGAGGGTGGATGGAGGGAACCTGAGAAGGAGTGAGGGTGATGAGTGAACCTGTGAGGGAGTGAGGGTGATGGAGTGGAACCTGTGAGGAGTGAGGGTGGATAGAGGGAACCTGAAAGGGAGTGAGGGTGGATGGAGGGAACCCCAGAGGGAGTGAGGGTGGATGGAGGGAACCTGAGAGGGAGTGAGGGATGGAGGGAACCTGTGAGGAGTGAGGGTGGATGGAGGAACCTGAGAGGAGTGAGGGTGATGGAGGAACCTGTGAGGGAGCTGAGTGTGATGGAGGAACCTGAGAGGATGGAGGGAACCTGAGAGGGAGTGAGGGTGGATGGAGGGAACCTGTGAGGGAGTGAGAGGATGGAGGGAACCTGTGAGGAGTGAGAGTGGATGGAGGGCACCTGTGAGGGAGTGAGGGTGGATGGAGGGAACCTGAGAGGGAGTGAGGGTGGATGGAGGGAACCTGTGAGGGTGTGAGGGGTGATGAGGAACTCCTGAGAGGAGTGAGGGTGGATGGAGGGAACCTGAGGAGTGAGGTGATGGAGGGAACCTGTGAGGGAGTGAGGGTGGATGAGGGAACCCAGAGGGAGTGAGGGTGGATGAGAACCTGTGAGGGAGTGAGGTGGATGAGTGAACCTGTGAGGGAGCAGATGGTGGATGGAGGAACCTGAGAGGAGTGAGGGTGGATGGAGGAAACCTGAGAGGGAGTGAGGGTGGGTGAGGGAACCTCAGAGGGAGTGAGGGTGATGGAGGGAACCTGTGAGGGAGTGAGGTGGATGGAGGGAACTTGTGAGGGAGTGAGGGTGGATGGAGGGAACCTGAGAGGGATGGAGGAACCTGAGAGGAGTGAGGGTGGATGGAGGGAACCTGAGAGGAGTGAGGTGGATGGAGGGAACCCAGAGGGAGTGAGGGTGGATGGAGGGAACCTGAGAGGAGAGGGATGGAGTGGAACCCAGAGGGAGTGAGGGTGGATGGAGGGAACCTGAGAGGAAGGAGGGTGATGGAGGGAACCTTGAGACGGAGGAGGTGATGAAGGGAACCTGATAGGAAAGGAGGTGGATGGAGGGAACCTGAGAGGGAAGGGTGAGGTGATTGAGGGAACCTGAGAGGGGAAGGAGGTGGATGGAGGGAACTTGAGAGGGAGGTGGTGGATGGAGGGAACCTGTGAGGAAAGCGAAGTAGATGGAAGAAACCTGAGAGGAAGGAGGTGGATGTGGGAACCTGGAGAGGGAAGGAGGTGGATGAAGGAACCTGAGAGGGAATAGAGGTAGATGGAGGGAAACCTAGAGGGAAGGAGGTGATGGAGGGAACCTGAGAGGAAAGGAGGTGGTGGAGGAATAGAGATATGTGCAGTGAATTTATAAGGTAGTAAGTCAAAGGTGAGGTTGGTTATGGAGGTTGGGTATGGAGGTTGGGTGGATGGAGGTTAAGGTGGCGGTTGCGGGTGGAGGTTGTGATGGAGGTTGGTTGGGTGGCGGTTGTAGAGATGGCTGGGTGGAGGTTGGGTGGGTGGAGGTTGGGTGGTTGGAGGTTGGGTGGATGGAGGTTGTTGGGTGGCGGTTGGGTGGGTGGCGGTTGGGTGGGGTGGGAGATGGCTGTGAGGTTGTGGAGGTTGGGTGACTGGAGGTTGGGTGGATGGAGGTTAGGTGGTTGGAGGTTGTGGTTGGAGGTTGGCTGGTTGGAGGTTGGCTGCTGGAGGTTGGTTGCTGAGGTTGGGTGGTTGGAGGCTGTGTGGGTGAAGGCTGTGTGGTTGAGGTTGGCTGGTTGGCATGGTGGTAAGGGAGGTTGGTTGGTTGAGGTTATGGTTGGAGGTTGGCTGGTTGAGGTTGGCTGGTTGGAGGTTGATGGTTGAGGTTGTGTGGGTGAAGGTTGTGTGGTTGAGGTTGGCTATTGAAGATGGGTGGTATGGAGGTTGGTTGGTTGAGGTTGCGGTTGAGGTTGGCTGGTTGGAGGTTGGCTGGTTGGAGGTTGATGGTTGGAGGTTGTGGGGTGAAGGTGTGGTTGGAGGTTGGCTGGTTGGAAGATGGGTGGTATGGAGGTTGTTGGTTGGAGGTTGCGGTTGGAGGTTGGTTGTTGAGGTTGGCTGGTTGAGGTTGGATGGTTGGAGGTTGTGTGGTGGAGGTTGGCTGGTTGGAGGTTGGCTGGTTGAGGTTGGATGGATGGAGGTTGGCTGGTTGGAGGTTGGCTGGCTGAGGTTGGCTGGCTGGAGGTTAGCTGTTGAAGGTTGGGTGGTTGAGGTTGGGTGGTTGGAGGTTGAAGTTGGTTGAGGCTGGGCTGGTTGGAGGTTGGGTGGTTGAGGTTGGCTGAGGCTGGCTGGTTGGAGGTTGGCTGGCTGGAGGTTGGCTGTTGGAGGTTGGCTGGTTGCAGGTTGGCTGGTTGCAGGTTGCGGTTGGAGGTTGCGGTTGGAGGTTGCGGTTGGAGGTTGCGGTTGGAGGCTGCGGTTGAGGTTGCGGTTGAGGTTAAGAGGTTGGGTGGGTTGAGGTTGGGTGGTTGGAGGTTGGCTGGTTGAGGTTGGGTGGTTGGAGGTTGGGTGGTTGGAGAGGTTGCGGTTGGAGGTTGCGGTTGGAGGTTGGCTGGCTGGAGGTTGGCTGGTTGAGGTTGGCTGGTTGGAGGTTGGGTGGTTGGAGGTTGGGTGGTTGGAGGTTGCGGTTGGAGGTTGCGGCTGGAGGTTGGGTGGTTGGAAGGTTGATGGAGGTTGGCTGGTTGGAGGTTGGAGGTTGTGGTTGGAGGTTGGGTGGTTGGAGGTTGGCTGGTTGGAGGTTGGCTGGTTGGAGGTTGCGGTTGGAGGTTGGCTGGTTGGAGGCTGGCTGGTTGAGGTTGCGGTTGGAGGTTGCGGTTGGAGGTTGCGGTTGAAGCGTTGGCTGGTTGGAGGTTGCGGTTGGAGGTTGCTGCTGAAGTGTTGCGGTTGGAGGTTGGGTGGTTGGAGGCTGGCTGGCTGAGGTTGGGTGGTTGGAGGTTGGCTGGTTGGAGGTTGGGTGGTTGGAGGTTGGGTGGTTGGAGGTTGGGTGGTTGGAGGTTGGGTGGTTGGAGGTTGGCTGGTTGAAGGTTGGCTGGGTGGAGGTTGTATCACCAATGAAGCGACTCATCATAATAACATTTGGTGTGTGACTCACTGGAGGAGACCTAGACGAGGTGGTGAGTCATTGTTGGGACTCATATGACCACAAACAACTGAGTTACCAAGTGAATGAAACCGGTTAAGTACTATAGTACATTTACCGGCAGTTACTCATATAAGAACATAAGAACATAAGAATGGAGGAAACTGCAGCGGGCCTATTGACCCATACTGGGCAGTCCCGTTTATACCCAACCCCTATTGCTCATATAAGCATCCAACCTGTGTTTGAAGCTATCCAGCGTATTCGAGTTAATCATGATATTTGGTAACTTGTTCCATTCACCCACTACTCTGTTTCCAAACCAGTGTTTATCTATGTCACGCCGAAATCTAAATTTGTCTAATTTAAAACCATTGTTACGAGTTCGCTCCTGGTTGGATAGTTTGAGTACCTTTGTAATGTCCCCTTTGATTAATCCTGACTTCCATTTATACACCTCTATCATGTCGCCCCTCACTCTACGTCTCTCGAGGGAGTGCAAATTAAGATGCTTTAACCTGTCTCTGTACTCAAGGTTCCTAATGCCCGGGATTAGTCTTGTCATTCTCCTCTGAATTCTTTCCAAGGATTCTATATCCATTCTGTAATACGGTGACCAGAACTGAACTGAGTAATCCAGGTGAGGTCTCACAAGCGCTAGATATAATTTTAAGATGACCTCGCTAGTCTTGTAACTAACACTCCTTTGTATGAACCCAAGTACTTTATTGGCCTTGTTACGAGCAAAAATACATTGTTTACTTGGCTTAAGATTCCTACTTATCATTACTCCTAAATCTCTCTCGCAGTCGGATTCCACAATGGCATCGTTGTTCATTTGATAACTGGTTTCCCTGTTTACATCTCCTATACTGAGTACATTACATTTGTCCACATTGAATTTCATCTGCCATTTTTCTGACCATTCGAAAAATTTGTTTAGATCTTCCTGTAGTTTTGCAGAGTCCTCGTCAGATTTAATCACACGTCCTATTTTAGTATCATCAGCAAATTTACTTATGTTGCTGTCTATGCCGATATCTATGTCGTTTATGTATAAAATAAATAATAATGGTCCAAGTACTGAGTCTTGGGGAACTCCACTATTGACATTGCTCCAATGTGATTTAGTGCCATCTATGCTCACTCGCTGTTTCCTGTCCCGTAACCACGCCCTAATCCATTTAAGGATATTACCTTTGATGCCATGCGCTTCTACCTTTCTAATTAGTCTTTCGTGGGGGACTCTGTCGAAGGCTTTGCTAAAGTCGAGATATACCACATCATATTCGTGCCCCTCGTCCACCGATTGGAAAACTGATGAAAAGAATGTTAATAGATTAGTTAAACATGAACGCCCGCTTGTGAAGCCATGTTGGGAATCATTGATCAACTTGTGCTTCTCCAGGTGGTTTCGAATAGAGTTTGAAATGATTAATTCTAGTAATTTGCCTACTATTGATGTTAGACTGATTGGGCGGTAGTTAGAGGATAATGATCTATCCCCCTTCTTGAAAATCGGTATTACATTCGCTATCCTCCAGGATTCTGGTACTACACCTGTTTTTAATGACATGTTAAACAACTTTGCTAAGGGCATACTAAGCTCTTCCTTACATTCCTTTAATACTCTGGCAAATATCTCATTGGGACCAGGTGACTTATTAGGCTTCAGTTTGTCTATTTGCTTATTAACATTGTTACTAGTCACTACTATCTCGCTTAATATGTTTTCTTCACTATCTCTGAATAGAGTCGGTGCCTTGGGTACCATGTTTAAATTTTCGGTGGTGAAAACTGTTGAAAAATATTTGTTCAGATTATTGCTCATTTCTCTGTCGTTATCAGTTAGCTCGCTGGTATCTGAACGTATTGGTCCAATCTTATCTCGTGTTTTAGTTTGATACATTTGGTAGAATCCTTTGAGGTTTGTCTTTGCCTCCCTTGCTATCTTCAGTTCATTATTCCTCTTTGCTTTTCTTATCTCGGTCTTAACCCTACCGGCCAATACCTTATAATACTCCAGGAGGTAAATTTCGCCACGGTTTATCCTTCTACCTATAGCCTTCCATTGGCCAATAATGTTCTTTACATAATTATTTATCTATTTAGGGTCATTGTTGTCTGATCTGAGTTTTTTGTACGGTATGTTCTGCCTTTCTGCATTAAGCAACTCATTATTTAAATTGTCGTGGAACTCGACAATCTCAGATCTCGTTATCAGGTCGGTGTCATCTGTCAGATTCACGCCCATGCGCGATACCCCCTCTCTCAGCTGCCTCTTTAAACTATCAAAGTTTGCCCTTCTGAAATCTGGGACTTTAATGGAATTTTCCTTACGTCTGACCTGAAAATCTAACTGGAATCTAATTTCTTTGTGATCGCTGTTTGCAAGTTGGTTCCCTACCTCGACATTGCTAATGAGGTTTTCTCTGTTCGACAGAACTAAATCGAGTATATTACTACCCCGGGTGGGTTCGGTTATATGTTGACTTAGGAAACAGTCCTGGATCGTTTCGAGGAAATCCTCTGATACTGAGTTACCTGTAAGGTCAGTCCAATCTATTTGGCCAAGGTTAAAATCGCCTACCATACAGACTTTGTTGTGTATGGAAGCCCTGCGCACTTCATCCCAGATAAGTTGCTCATTAACTCTATGAAGGTTGGGAGTTCTATATATTACTCCTATGATTAATTTTTCCCTACCGTCGATTAATTCTATCCAAATTGTTTCTATATTCTGCTCAGTTTTTATTTCCTTATTTAATTCACACTTCAGATTATCCGTCATAGATTGCTACTCCGCCTCCTTTCCTGATCTGCCTATCGGTATGGAACAATTTGTCACCCGCAATTTGGTATTCGACCGGTAATTCACGTGAGTCTAGGTTGATCCATGTTTCAGTGAATGCTATTATATCGATTTTTTCGGTACATACCAAGGCCCTAATATCATCCATTTTGTTTCTCATACTTCTACTGTTTGCATAGTAGACATTTAAGTTAGTTGTGTTCTGAGTCCTCTCTTTACCGAGTTTAGGTTTTAACTCCCTGTCTAATTTTGTTTTGTCATCATTCCTATCACTATTTCCCTGTAATCTTTTACTTTGTTTACCCACTCCCACTGCAGTCTCCTCCACCCCCGTGCCCATATGTTCCCCTAGCAGTTTAAAGGCTTCGATATCATTTGAACTGCCCTCTCAAGAGACCCAGCCAGGGTTGCCACCCCATCCCTAGACAGGTGCACCCCATCCCTAGCATAAAGGTCCCTTCTGCTGTAGAGTTGTCCCAGTTGTCAATGAATGGGACTGATATTGACTTGCAATATCTGTCAAGATGGTCGTTGACACCAACCTCCCTTGACAACCATTCACTGCCAACTCTCCTTCTAGGCAGGACACCGCATATGATAGGGATCCCTCCCCTAGTCCTAATACGATCTATAGCTGCCTTGAACTTATCAAGAAGCTCCTCGCTCCTACACCGGCCAATATCATTGCCTCTTGCACTGAGGCAGATAATGGGTTTGTTCCCATTACCAGAAAAGATATTGTCCATCCTGTCAACTATATCCCCCACCCCAGCTCCTGGCAAACACACCCTCATCCTATTTTTGTTTTTACCACAAAAAGCCATGTCCAAGTACCATACCTGTGAGTCACCAACAATTAAAGTTTTTATACCTTCCTTGTCAGTCCTGTCCCTGACTGTACTAACATCCAATTCGTCTATCCCTGTACTAACGTCCAATTCGTCTATCAAGGGACTGAACGAGTTGGTACACTTAGCTGTTGATGTCGTTGTTGACGTATCCTTGTTGTGTTTTTTCATCACCAGTTTATTCTTCCCTCTCCTCACATCCTTCCACTCGTCTGAGTTATCGCCAGACACGGGCTTTCCTTGTCTCGCCTCTTCCTTCAACCTCGCCATCTCTTCCTTTAATTTCAGGTTCTCCAACGTGGCCCTCTCTAATTCTTCCTTGACCCTCTCCAACAAACTCGCACACCCCAGACCACACATAGCACTGGCCATATCTGATAATTATCCCTCGGGAGCTAACCCTGCCGTGACCTTTCCCCAAATGTAACCTTACTTAACCTGTCCTAGCTTAGCTTAATTAACCTAACCGAAACAATCCAAATCAACTCCTATCTAATCAAACCTAAATCAACTTAACTAACTTAACCCAACCCAACCAAACTAAAAGCCCAACCAATCCAAATCTAAACCCACCTAACCAAACCTAATTCAACATAACTAAACCTTACCCAACCAAACCAAATCTAACCTAACCAAAACAAAAACAGCATCACTTGGAGGTTGAAGACAATACCTATACGTAACATTAATATATCAGCTCAGGTAACAGAATGTGGTAAGTGCGAGGTTATCTATGACCAGGCATAGGGCAACTGTCTTAACTTATCTATAGACTGACCAGGGAAGGGGGAGACGAAGGGTAGGGCAGAGACAGGGAGGTGAGAGTGGTGAGAGAGGGTGGCAAATGAGAGGTGAGGGTTCGGGGTGGAGGCGACTAATGTGGGAAAAAGGCCGAGATAGGATGAAGAGAACTCGGGTCAAGATGAAAGAGGAGAATGGATAGGAAAGAGCAGGTAGAAAATAGTAAATGGTGTAGAAAAGAATAATGAATAACAACAGTAATCGGGTGTTATAAATAGATAAAGAGGGCAAGAGACACAGAGAATAGCATGAAAAGAAATGGGAAGAACGAATGAGGAAAGAGATTAGAAAAACTAGTAAAGGTAAAATAAGTAGACTCTCTAGGTTAACAACAGAAGAATGTCTACTGTTAGACAGATATGCTAAAAGTCACTTGGCAGCGGTGGGATTCGAACCCACGCCTCCGAAGAGACTGGTGCCTTAAACCAGCGCCTTAGACCGCTCGGCCACGCTACCTGTGTAATGCGTATATATTTTGTTGTCATGACACATAAGTATGTCTGATAGTCTGTGATGAATCAATT